TGGACAGTGCAGTAAAGGGAGGGAAAGAATTACTGAAAGATCTCCCACCCGATAATGTCCTCCTTTTGTCATTTTCTTAGGAAGGCAAAGTAAAAGACGAGAAGGGCGTGCGAGTAGGAGAGAGGGAGGATTCAATTCCTCCTGAATACAGGCTTAAAGAGGACAAATCCAAAACCCTGCCTGCTCCTGAACCTGAGGTGAGACTGGGACACATCCTCCTGTAAGCCACACTGTAAGCTGCTTCATCTTATCTCACAGCACAAGCTCTGTGATCAAGGTGCAGTTGGAATTGTTTTGTTCTTACATATGATGTACACATGTGAAATGAACCCAGCAGTAACTGTGTGATATTTGATTAGATTTGATTTGATTTATTCATTCAAGCATGTAAAACAGTTGATATGTCAACACATGTAATTTCACACATATCCAACAATAATAATCCAATATCAGTTTACTTATACCTAGTACATGCTTGAACGGAGTAGGAAGAAGTTAGACTTATCTAGTCCTACCCCATGACATCATCTTACAACTTTTAAGTCCTAAGCAATATCTCTACATAAATAATTATCCTCTACACCACACAAGTAATATACTACAGAATTATTACAGTGTTAACATTCTACATAATTACATTCATAGATAATTATCTTCTACAGTTTTACACCACTTATGGAAATACAGAATCTTTTTTTGGTTGTACGTATAGCATGAATTTTAAAATTTAACTGACCCCTTAAATTATATCCCCCTTCCCTTTCATTAAATAGTTTTTAAATTCCACCAGGTAATAAATTGTTCCTGGCTTTATACATAAACACAGCAGTCTTATATCCATGTTGACTGGTCCTTCACTCTCTCTGTCCTCCTGCAGCCCAAGATGGACAACAGCGAGGCTCTGGACATTTTGTCTGGAGACTTCATGACCTCCTCAGCAGCTCCTGCCATCCAGGCTCCTCCTATCACCCCCTCATCTGCTCCTGCACAGGTACGCTCGGGATCTGAGACTGTTGCCTCCACTGCTGCCCCGAAAGTGCAGTCTGCTGCTTGTGTTCCCACAGCATGAATTTTAAAATTTAACTGACCCCTTAAATTGTATCCCCTTCCCTTTCATTAAATAACTTTTGAATTCCACCAGGTAATAAATTTTTCCTGGCTTTATACATAAACACAGCAGTCTTATATCCATGTTGACTGGTCCTTCACTCTCCCTGTCCTCCTGCAGCCCAAGATGGACAACAGCGAGGCTCTGGACATTTTGTCTGGAGACTTCGTGACCTCCTCAGCAGCTCCTGCTGTCCAGGCTCCTCTTGTCACTCCCTCATCTGCTCCTGTACAGGTACGCTCGGGCTCTATACCCGGTAACCGTTACCTTGCCTGACTAATATCTCATCTAGTAACGTCTTTGTTGCTTGTTGTAGAAAGCGGCTGCAGTGCCCCCTAAAGCTGTGAGCCCTGCTCCTCCTGCTGATAAGAAAACCGAGGCAGCTGGAGTTTCAGCTTCCACTGCTAAGGTACAGTGCAGCAAGCTCACATGTCCTTTCCTGCAAGCATCCCTTGACAGGTCAGATCTCCGCTCATGGTGATAGGTTGTCCTGCTGTAGATAACCCTTTCTCACAGATTTAAACAGCATCTGAATTGTGGCAGTAAAATAGTTTTTTTTTTTTTGACACAATTTTCCACCAACATCACAGCATCTCTTCTCAGAGTCGCACCTCGATCAAATCAAACCATACAAACATCATGCACATAATGACGCCATCGGGCTAACTTTCATTCTTTTACAGTGGTAGCGCGATTTCACTGTGTCAGTCAAGGATAAACTTCCATTAATCTGGACATCATTGAAAATAAGACAAAATCTGATCCCTTACTGAAGCGTGCATGGCAGCTTGCTTGTCGATGGACTGGAAACTAATGAGCTGAACTTACTGTAGGGAACCATCTCAAACGTGCATGCAAAGAGAAAATGTCAGATTTTTTCAAGAGCCTTCTCATTTAATTTATTTATTATTTTAATTGTAGAACCAACTATTTTTATCTGGACTGCCTTCCTTCCTTTTCCCAGTGTTAAAACCTCCAGCACTATTTCCACTGTTCTTTTTCACCCCACAAATATTCATTCCAATATTTTCAAAACGAGCCATTAATTGTCACTATAAGCTAATTTAAAAATGATTACTTCAGTTAAAAAAATGTATATAAGCATAGACACATACATTGGAAAAGACCGGTATGATTCTTTAAAGTGATATGATCACTTTCCAGTGCAGCTCAGTTAGGTTATTACTATATACTAATAATACTAGATTTTTATGTAAAGGTTTTGTTACCTGTGTTGTCTTGTGTAGAAAGTTCAGTCCTCTGCAGCGCCCCCTGCGCCTCCCGTTGATAAGAAAGGCAAAGCAGAGAAAGTCGCTTCTGGAAAGGATGCCACTAAGACTACACCCAAAGCTGAGGTGAGAAGATTTACAGATGTTGTAACCTGTTTTGTTTCTGTCCTGTTTCACCAGCTCTGTTTACTTCTATTTGTGGAAGAGAATTGTTACTTCAGTAATTTAAATGTATGATGGACCAGTAGGACACACACTGTTCTCTTCTCAGGATGACTCCATGTCTCTGGATGCTCTCGATATGCTTGGTGACACACTTCCAGCAGACAAACCAAAACCCGAAGCTCCCAAACTCAGACCCGAGGACATCGTCTCGGTATGGTCACAAATGCACACACATTCTGCTGCTTTTTCATGTGATATGTACACATTGACATGGTGGCTATACAGTACATTAGCCCTCAGTGTGGTGTTAGCAGACACCCGTTATAAAGTGACATTTCAGGAAGGTAAAAATTCATGGTTTCTCTCACTCCTAAAATCAGTATTATGATAAAACCATAACAAACGATGACAGAGTGAGCCATAATTACACGGCAATCCTCTTTTGTTTATTTCTGTGTGTGTATTAATTAATGGGTTTTTCTGTGTGATTGTTCCTAAATATAAGATTCTTTTCGTTTTCACAGGAGGATAAACTGAAGAAGGAGAAGGGCGTGCGAGTAGGAGAGAGAGACGACTCAATTGCTCCTGAATACAGGCTTAAAGAGGACAAATCCAAAACCCTGCCTGCTCCTGAACTTGAGGTGAGACTTACATCCTCCTGTAAGCCACACTGTAAGCTGCTTCATCTTATCTCACAGCACAAGCTCTGTGATCAAGGTGCAGTTGGAATTGTTTTGTTCTTACATATGATGTACACATGTGAAATGAACCCAGCAGTAACTGTGTGATATAGACTGGCCCTTCACTCTCTCTCTCCTCCTGCAGCCCAAGATGGACAACAGCGAGGCTCTGGACATTTTGTCTGGAGACTTCGTGACCTCCTCAGCAGCTCCTGCCGTCCAGGCTCCTCCTATCACCCCCTTATCTGCTCCTGCACAGGTACGCTCGGGATCTGAGACTGTTACATCCACCGCTGCCCCGAAAGTGCAGTCTGCTGCTTGTGTTCCCACAGAAACTGCCCCGCAGGTGAACAATTACAACTCAAGCCTTTTTCAACTACTTGGACTCTCTAAAACCCTGTAGTTACACCAAATTCTTTTTGTCTGTGTTCACTCAGCTGGAAGCAGGAGCAGACGTTGCCCTGGATGCTCTGTCGGACACCTTGAAGGATATCGCACCCGCACCTCAGCCCGCTCCAGTTCCTGCCAAAGACATTGTCAAGGTACCCTGCATGCTTTAGCAGCATAGGGGAGAACATTTTCAAGTTTCCAGAGAGCTCAGAAAACACAGTGTGAAAGTCCTGATTTGTTTGGGTGTCACAGGAGAAAAAGGCTGTTGAAGAGAAGCTGGTTAAGGCAGGAGAGAGAGACGACTCGCTGCCACCAGAGTATCGACCCACTGAGGAAGATATCAAGGTAAAGTAACCACTATGTTTGTACAGTATGAATAGTTTCTGTTTTAGTGTTGCAACACGTGACTGATAAAATTATTGACCCTGTATGATTTAGTTTTTATATTTCTGGATAAGAGACTCTCTGAGCAAAGCGATCTGTGTTTACATGGACACAGTTTTGACAGCCCTGTATGTAGTAGTAGTAGTAGTAGTACGTGTAACTTTACTGTGTGTCTGTTTCTTTTAAAAGAAAATGGCAGAAGCAAAGGCCAAAGCAGCCGCGGCACCCAAAGAGGCAAGTACTTCACAGAACACAGTAATGATACAGTGATACAACAATGCAGCGTGCTGACAGAGACTTTAACTTCCTGTCTTTTTCTTCCCTGTAGAAGACAATGGATGACGATACAGCCTTGGACTTGCTGTCCGGTGATTTCTCTGCTCCTGCCAAGTCCACTGCACCAGTCGCACCTTCTGCCGGCACAACAAAGCCGAAACCTCCTGAGCAGGGCTCGGACGCCAAATCAGACAAATCAAAGGTAAAAAGATCTGAGATGAGAATGTCAGATAGCACCATAAGACGATGATACAAATAGAGGAACAAATGCAAATCCACCATGAGCTGTCAGACTCCCACAACGATCTTTTATTGACTTGACAGTTCATAAGTACAGTATGATAGCAGATAAAGATGCACAAAATGCTCACAAAGGAGTCTACAGAAACACATTGGAGAAAGAAAGTTATGTCAGAAACTCCAACAAATAGTACACGGTGAAGAACTTACTGGCTGCACTTGGAATTCGTGTGTGTGTGTACTACACACACTTTAAGAAGAACTGTGTGCTCAGTAGAACTGATGTAACAGACATTTTTGTCTGTTGCACCTCTAATAGCTGATGTTACACACTTTTACTTGTCCTTGTTGCCTGGTGCCCTTTGTTTACTAGTGTTTACTGTATCACTGGTCACCACAACAGCATTGTGAAGCTGTTGAGTCTAACCACAGTGTCAACTTTATTACAGGGCAAGAGCAAGTCAAAGTCTAATGTAAGCAATTTGCCAGCTGCATGAAGACCTAAGACTAAATGACACTGTGCACATATAACTGAGCCAAAGTCTCCATCAGTGGAGCCTGCACAAAGCTGCATGATATGCCCTCTCCTCTCACTGCTGTGCCTGACTTCCCAAAATAACTCTATTAAATCTGTATAAATACTGCACAGGTGCTGCTACTAGTGCGCTACGTATTTTTTTTTTAAACTTTGACCTTGTATTTCAGAAACATCATGCAGATCAGCCACCTGCCACTGACCAGCGACCAGCTCAGCTAAGCTCAGATGTCGTGGTAACATCCAAAAAGCAGGGGGGCAAGAGCTAGAGCGCCTGGTAAAGTTTGTTCTTGTCTTTTGCAAAAATGTCCCTGCCAAAAGCTGCAACATGTTCAACATGACAAGGCCCAGGCCTTTCCACTGACTGCTCACTGTGTTGTTGCAGGTTGTTGGTGCAGTTTGTCCTCAAGACCACAGGGGCTCATCAGTGCAGGAGCTGCTCTCTGGATAACTATTCTATTTTTTTAAATCATCAAGAATGTATATTGGCTGCAAGACAAACATAGACATAACACTCAGCACACACACAAATACACACAGACACACATGTGCATCACCTTTCTTGCTCGGTTTTACACGTATTCAAAGATGACAAACTTTTGGTTTCTGTCTCTCAAGAAAATGAAAGGAAGATATGGAAACAGGATGGATGTAAAAAATGCATGAAGAACAGAGAAAGAAAGGAGGGAAAGTGTTAGGAGGAGAGGAGCTGACACGTTTTTGGTTTTGCTGGTTGGTGTGCTGAGGGAAGGAAGGCGTTGCTCATCAGACTCCTGCATGTACATATCAGCTGGCAGTTTCTAGTTTTTCCAATGATACACTAATATCACAACACACAGGCGGTCGAGCCTGGTTGGAGCAGTGATGAGTGTCAGCTTGCGTGGAATAAGAGCAGACTGGGTGTGTAAAATCGGGATGTTTGTGCAATCTGATGTACACAGAGAAGCCAAGTTTCCTGTCATCATGTGGTCGTATGCAATTAAGACACTAGTTTATAATTAGTTTGCTTCTATTTTTGGACAGAATAGTTTACAATATTGCATATGTGGAGGATTTTCAGGGGTGTTCAGCTTAGTTCTGTATCTAAGAGCGTCTTGCAAATGACTTTGATTTTTTTGTAGAGGAATATGTCTACAGAAGGATCTTTTTATGCATTTGGCCTTGTAGCAAAAATAAATTACTGGTGTCCAGAAGTGCACTTATTGAACCAAGGTGGTGACATGCTTGTAAACTACCCTTTTGTGTACTGTAAAAAAAAAATATTTTTGCTTGATAGAAGGTAACACTGTATAATTTTAACAGTTGTCAATAATCACAATATTTTCCCCAAGTTTTTTCATGTCAGGGTTTGTGTGGGTGAGTCATGCAGATATATTGGAATACCAATTAAAAAAAATTAGAGTGGTGTTACATGTGGAGTCTGATTTTTTTTGGTATGTGCCTAAAATGAGAGAAGTTGCCATGAATAGGTGTAAAACAGCTAAATAATGGAGGAAAGTTTTCCTACAGGTGCAAGGGAGTGTGTATGTGCCAAACCGAACAGAATCTAAGTGCTTTTCTCTACTCCTGACATAGTGGTTTTTCACTCTGCGTACATGTGTAACAGCCCACTTCCTTTTGACTTCGGGGGGCTTACAACAAAAATGTCTTTCTGTACGCCAAGACCCTGAATGACTAGTGGGGGTGCAAATGATTGTTTGGTGTGAAAAAAAAATAAAAGACATAAATAAAGGCAAATGCAATTCATTGCAGCCAAGACAGAATTCTTGTTTTGAGTGGTATATTTTATTCACAAAATATTCAGTGGGATAATTCTAAAATACCGGTTGTTCATTTTTAAATAGTTGTCAAATATTAATTTGAAACAAATTTAAATGAAAAGTAGTGCTGCTATGAAGGAATAAAGAAAAAAAACCTCAACTAAATAAATGTTTTAAAAGCTTTTAGCATTTCAAGAAATATCAGCAAATTATGGTCTTAACTGTGCTAAATTGCTTAACTTTTGTCTTGAGGGATAGTACTGTAATTAAAGTCACAGATCAATGTAGGTTAGACACACTGAAAAAAGTAAGCGGTGAAAAAGGTAAAGGCATAGATTGTAAATGAACTTTATAGAAAAGCAAAATGAATTCTATTTGCAAATGTTAGGAAAAGTAACAAATTAGCACGCTGAATTCTAATATTCTCAGGAATTAAACAGTTTATCAACATTCATGGGGATCAGATTTTTTATTCAAGTTATTTAATTACAAGAATTCGATCTGAATGTGACAGCACAGCGTCATCAGTCGTCGAATTGCAGTGCAGTTAATGACAATGAAAAGATTTGATGCACTAAATAAACACATTTTCTGTCAATCACTGATTTAGGTTGGCGGTAAGTAATTCCCCATGAAGTTGCCATTAAACTGTAAATGAAATAAATTTTTGTAGAAATAACGTTGTAAAATAATTGCAGTTTAAAGAACAATCAGTGAAGCAGTACCATTTGGATTAAACATGCACGTTGGTCATCAGTTTTCCAGGAGGCTGGGTCCGTGGCCTGCACAACATAAGCAAGGTAAATTAATATTTAAATAAGCAGCTCATCACAGTAGAAGCAAAAAGGAAATGGGGCCACTGAGGTCTCACTCTGCATTATCTGGGAATTTGTGAGAACAGTAAAAAAACAAAAAAGGTATACATTGGATATTTAAGTGGCTGATTTCAGTGTTTAGATGTTACAACTTTTACAAGATGTGATACATTTAAATAAAAGAATTCAGTATTGTACTTATGGATGCTCAGAAAAGGCTTAAGCCGTATTAGGGTCTCCATAAATTAAAAACAAAAAACATTTTTATGAACAAGTAATTTACCAGTAATTTCCAAGAAGACTACTAGAATAAAATGCAATTTGGTACTAGTTAAGGGAAAATGGATGCAAAGCTTTGACAGTAATTTGAGTGATAGTTTAATTATAGTAGCTAACTTTATGAGCTACTGTTGTTTCAGAGGAATTCCCTTGAAATAACTGATTGTTGAAAATATCACTGAACAGCCAACTAAATAAATACATATGAAAAAACTAACTAGAAAAATTTGGCAAAACATATCTTTTGAGATCTGTGGAGAGGTGAGAGGACTTACAGCCCAAAATAGAAAGATAATGCTGAACTAACAGATAAATAACTTACTTTCTGTTATGATGGTGTGGGCATCTCCGTGTTCTTACGTCTACGGCAAATCAAGAGTGTTATTTTCAAATTACATATTCACCGTACGTCACCCGTATTTAAATCAAGAAAAGCAAAAAAAAAACAAAAAACTGCCTGTAAAATTCAGGGTGGGGGGGCACATATAGACATTTAACAGCATATTACCCTTTCAGTAAAATGAGATGTAACTGGGTACATGACGGCTGCTCTTTTAGGTTTACAATATCAGGTGGACTTACGGTTGCAGTACAAGGTGGTGATGATGAGCAGCAGCAGCAAAAGGCCACAGCTCCCAGCAAGTGGGCCCAGTATAAGCGGATTACAAAGCAACTCAGGACTGGTTTCCGCTGCAAGAAATGTGTTCGTTTAGCCCATTTCTCATCAGAGCATCATAAACATTTTCTCTACAGGAAGTGTTCATAGTTTTAATGCGCAGTTAACATTTACCTTGCGAGTGGCTGTTGTCACAAACACAGGCCGTGGTGGTTGTGGGGAGACTTGGCTTGGTCGTCGTCGGGGCTGGTGGTGGTTTTGTGGGGTCTGCATCTTTTTCTGAACAAAAAGGACAGTTGATAGAAAACGTTGCTGAAAGCCATCCTTTGTGTCAGGATTAGAGCAGATGTATAAAACACCACTCACCTCCAACCAGTCGGGTCATGTCGCCAAATTTCAGTTCGTTACTTTTAATAGCAGCACAGCTGTACACGCCACTGTCACGGGTTTTGTCAAAGGATTTCAAAGTTAGGGTTGACTGTGAAATCTTTGAGTTACTGAAGTATGAATAGCAGGAGCCTGATGACTTCGGGATGCCAGTGTTACTGAAAGATGCAATGAATTCCATGCCGGATTTGTCCAGGACTCGAAACCAGACGATCATACTCCCCGCCTCAGGAGGCTTGCATGTGATATCGACATCTTGGTTCTCTATTATAATTTTCTCCTCAGATCCAAGAGTCAATTCTAAAATGTAAAAAAATTAGCATTAGAATTATATTTGGTCTGTTTTCAGGTACCCAAAAGCAGAAAACACCTTAACAAGGCAGTGAATAGACTTAGGAGCGCTTAGCAAGCAAATGTTTATTTTTATAGCAAAAGTACGTTTTAAGACAAGAACAAAAGACCACAAGATCAGAAGTCGACCGGCTATCATGCGGAAGGCTATTCCACAATTTGGGACCTGCCATCAAAAATGCTCGGTTGCCAGCATAGATCAAACTTACCCATATAAAACACCAGAATCAGAATCCACTTTTGGTTCATTATAAATCTTGTCGACAAGAAAAGCTGCTAAACAGGTCTTTGTGATGCTTGATGGAGCCTACCAGGAGATTATGCAGTGAGATATCAAACCACGCCCCACCTGTAACCCCCTTCTCTGCTGTATCAAATGAGATCATTGCTGTGGAGCGTTGCAGAGACCTCCTGCAACACAGTCGTGGTCTGCAAAATGTTTTGAAGTAGAGCCTACTGATCTACATTTTCACTCCTCTACCTCTGTGTAGAAGCACTGAACAGCATGACTTCATCAATAAGCTGCTGTACACAAACTCAGTAGTGAGCAGTATGTGGGCTGAAAAGGATGTGGTAGCCACACAGTACATGTTAAATCTGTCACAGCTTACTTTACACAAACTACACTTTTGTTACCATCAATTTATTGCATCGATTTTAGCATAAGTTAGTAACATTTCATGTAAAATGTTTGTGTGACATTTTAATCACTTACTCTGGGCTAGTTTGTGTCAATTTTAAGTGTTTTAACTACTTGTGACCAAAAGGAAGGGTTGGAGGCCCGATGCCACCTTAAATTCCCACTACACCACTGAACAAAAGCAGGTCTACCTCTAATAGGGAAACCCCACCAACCACCACCTGCGCCCGTGCCACTACAAGCCAAGAGAAGCACAGGTTATTGCAAATCAAGGTGAACATAAATTCACCACATGCAAGTGCAGGGAGAGAGTAGCCCTAAATTCCTACTCAAGTCAGTACCACCTTACTCCAGCAGCTGACTACAAAATATTAAATAAAAGTAACAGAAGTTGTTTGCGTTTGAATGATGTAGTGCAACAATACAAGGCCCACATAGAGCCTGAAAAAGGTCTATATAAAAGAACCGATATTCTAGAATAATAAATGGCTATTGGGATACAAGTAATTGAGTTTAGTCTAGGCAAGTAAAACCAGGGAGTCAAACAAACTACATGAGACTAACTCTGTATTGCGCTGAGCAGAACACTGGAACATGCAACAGTGCTGGACCACAAAGTAACCACAAAAACATACAGTAGTTAAAAGTATATTTCTGAATAAAGGTATTAAAGTCGACTTAAAGCACAGTTTATATCCTAAAATGTGCATCTCTTGTGGGTGGACTTGGTGTGGGCATCCAGTTAGTCTACAGACAAACAACACAGTTATTGTGCTACATATAAAAGCACAGCTTTATTTGGAATAAGAAAACACATCAGCATACCTGACAACCGCACAGGAAGAGGAAAACCCATCTTACAAGTGTGAACAGCTCATGCTGTTCATCTCGCCAAGATTCAGCTTCACACAGGTCAAGGTCACCTGCCTGATGGGAGGGCTTCCTGAGACTGACAGCTACAAACGGAGGAGCTTCCAGAGGCTGAAGGTTACCTGTCACAATACTGTTATGGTAGTTATAGCTTCTCAGTGGACACCACTGAAGTAAATCTGTCCAACTGTAGCAACACCTCAACTGATTTAAAGTATAACAGAGGGATGCCAAATGAAGTTTCATCCATGTTGCATAGCTAAGAAAACCAAATGCCTCATGTCAAACCATGTTAACATGCAGTGTTACATCACTGCAGCGAGGTAAATATTTTAACTGCTAGATGGCAGCAACAACAGGATTTATAGTGCTGACTGTTTTTAAGCAATAAATTGATACCGGCAACCATGACATTAGGTGATGTCAGAGGAGGTATTTTACCAAATGGCGCCCCCAAGGGGTGGCTGGGGGGGCGCTATAGCCTCCATCCAAAATTCACTGCCCCACTCCACACACACACACACGACAAACCCCAGTCATTTTAATTATTTGCAACGTAAGCACCTAAAAATCTGACATACATTTAAGATATTACACATTTGAGTTGAGTTTTGAAAGAAGAGAAATCATTTTTGTACATGATTTTTACATAAAACTACTGAAATGGAGTGCCATGTTTGTTGTTATTCAGTTGTATAAATCACTCAAATTATAAAAGTAATAAACAAATTGAGTATGAAATCTGATGTGTTTCTGACATTTTAGCCTCCGTAATTCATTATTTTATTCTATAGAAAACACATACAAAATTAAAGCCACTTGTAGAATTTTTAGCCACCTAGAGTCGACATTTAAAGGTTATGATTAAAAATGGAAAATAGTTGCAAATAATATGCAATAAGATGCAATGGACATAAGTGAAACCTTTGAGTCACAGCTTATTGGCCGCACCATTTAGATTTATCCTAATTACACTGAAATTTCTCCATTGAGGGATCAATAAAGTACCTACCTACCTACGTCAGTCCAGTTCTTATTCTATTCTATTTTTATTCTACTTTATTTTAGTTCCTAAACGTTATGGCACCCAATACTAGGTGAGAGAGAAACGGTATTTTGATTTTCTGTATGTCCTGCACATATGGTGAATTGACAATAAAATCCTGGAACCTTGAACCATTATTATCAGCTAATAATGAATATTTGAACACTTAATTTTATGGTTGATGATGCTTTTGGAATAAAAAATTAATGATTACTTGGTTGATCCCATGTGAATATCATAAACTGTTTATGCTCACATGAGATCAGCCAAGGAATTAAACAGTAGGCAATTTATTTTACACCATAACATAGTATATTTACCTTTCTATTAACTATCCATCCATTTTCCTCCGCTTATCCGGGACCGGGTCGCGGGGGCAGCAGTCTAAGCAAAGATGCCCAGACTTCCCTCTCTCCAGACCCTTCCTCCAGCTCCTCCGGGGGAATGCCAAGGCGTTCCCAGGCCAGCCAAGAGACATAGTCCCTCCAGCGTGTCCTGGGTCTTCCCCGGGGCCTCCTCCCAGTGGGACATGCCTGGAACATCTCCCTAGGAAGGCGCCCAGGAGGCATCCGAAACAGATGCCCGAGCCACCTCAGCTGGC